TCCAAGTGGTCAGCTTTTCAACAAAATTTCATACTGTAGCCTTCTAAACACTACTGAAGCTCCAGAGGAATTGAATTTAGGAGGAAAAGTGATTGTAAAAAAGGAGGAAATGTTTGAAGAAGAAAACACATTCAATGAAACGGTTTTTCATGGTCGTTTCCTTCCGCCAAATCAAATGGGATGGATCGTATAATGTGTGTTTTGCAGTTTTTTTTCTTTTTGACCAGACAACCTATATGAATACTTCAACGAGTACAAATAATACTTGACAGTTTCACTGCAAAATGGAAAGAAGGGAAACGGATAGTAATTTTGAAGTTATTTGGTATTTTGGGAATGAGTCAGTTATAATGAAGGGAAAATACTGTTCTCTTTTTGAACGTATACAGAAAAAAAAATAACTGGACTGGATTGTCCCAGGCGCGGGGACTTCGTTTGGATAACAATCTGATGAGTCATACTGTACGTTCGGAAGGAATCGTTATATGGTTAAGTTTATATATTTTTTTCAGGAATTTGTTTCAAATCAATGGGAATAAATAGAAAATTTCGCTTCCTATTTTTAACCTTTTGATTTTTCAGTTTTTTAAACCCAATTTTTTCACTTCTAATTTTCTTTTCAAATTAGTTTCTTTTTTTATTCACGGGTGTGATACCATAGTAAATACACCGGCTAGGAAAAAAATGAAGAGAAATTAGCTCAAAATGAAACCAAACAAAGGATATCTTTTCAATTTCTGGCCGTAGGCCGGATGATGCTATTCGGAACGTTCAAAAATGCAATAATTCAAAAAATTCCAAAAAAACATAATTGCAAATTTCCGGGCCGGCCCGCTGTTTGTATAACAGCTGATTTTTTTGAATTTTTTTTCGAAAATTTTATAATTTTTCAAAAATTTAATCAAAAACTCTTATATTTTTTGACTACCTTCTGCTTTGAAAAATTTGTAACTTGTTTTCTTTTTTGATTCAAAAAAATGCCCCAATTTTTCATTGGAAATTTTTTTTACTGAGAAAGGGCGGCCCGGCCCGGCCTGGCCCGTTGCAAGTATGGAAAAAAAAAACCAGAAATTGATAAGAAAGAAAATCGATAAGAGAAGCAAGAAAGAAGATATGTAAAAAGATGTCAATTAGATTCAGTGCTTTAGTGGTAGAAGATTACTGTAGTTTGAAAGACCCAATAGATTACTGTAGTTGGAACGTGTAGAGAATGAAATACAGTAGTTGAAATCCGAAACGTTATTGTAGTTTCAAAATGCCGAAGATTCCTGTAGTAAAGAAGTAAACGTTTTGAACTCGGAAGTTGGAAGTTTGAGTCGGTGTGCTCAAGTAGATCCTTCTCTGCTGCCAGAACGCTCAGCGCACGTATCTATTGCTATTTCATTTTCTTTCAAAATTTGATTTCGGTCATTTGGTAAAAGGGGGACGTTCAGTGATAAACACCTAGCCATGAACCCCAAACAATGGCGACCCGAGGCCTTTTAGTACTTTTTTTACTTCAATGACGTCGATCAGTCTTCGAAAAAAAAGAAATAGCAATGTGTAGCGCATCCGAAGCTTCCTGGCAGTGGGCAGCATCTTCCTTCCAGCATCAAGCATCCGACGTCGTCTTCCTTGTTGATCCTCTGCGAAACCCGGTGATCCTCGTCGAGCTTCGAAGTAGAGAGGCCAGTTGTCGCTGTAGGATCGGATCGGATTCCTTGCCATCCCAGCTGCCCTGGAACCACGTTTCAACTCGAACTCCTCATCGGCTCCTCGGTCCGACTTCTGGTTGATTTCTCCAGCTTATATAGCTCCTGTAGATCAGATCTAAAGACAAGATAAGAAATGAGCATGAAAGTTGTCAGCACACGCGGAAATTCTGATATTTTTCTAATAAAACAAACTAAAAAAGAATATGGTAGATTTACTTCGGATTACTGTAGTTTTTGACTGAAATCAAGATCAGCATCATCGCCGTAGATCAGTCACATCAGGACACCTAGAATTTAAGAATAGACAAATCAGAAATTTCGAAGTCTTTCTCAGAATATCAGAATCTCAAAATCGACATATCTCGAAACCTCAGGGTCCCAGACTTTCAGACTTTCAGAATTTCAGAATTACTGTAATTTGAAAATCTATAAGGTTACTGTAACTTAAAAAATTTATAGGGTTACTGTAGTTTTGAAATCTATAGTTACTGTAGTTTGAAAATGTAGTGGATCTTTTTATTCTATTGGAGTATATATATATACGGTAGTCTAGAAAGAACTACAACTATTTTGGCGTCCATGTTTTTGATATTCGAAATTGAAAAGATATCCTTTGTTTAGTCCTTTTTTTTCCAGGAATTTGCCTTCTTTTCCTTTAACTTGTTCTACTATATCCTTCATATTCCATTATTTATATTGAATCTTTCTAACTTTTAATGATATTTTTGTTATTGTGCACTTTGTCACACCGCGGAGTTCTTCTTGTGATCGAGATCAAATCTTATTACACTTTGTAGTAAACTTTCTTCTTTTTCTTTCTGTCACTCTGTCGAACATATATCACTTTACACCAGATTCTTCTTTCCTCTTTATTGCTCTTCGCATTTCAGTTTCTGCTCTTCCTGTGGACTTTATGTTCAGATGAGACGAATATTTTGCAACTTTCTGAACGTCTTCGTTAAGCTTTCATACTTCAAAATTTCATTTTATTGAACTTTTTAAATTTAATGTCAAAATTTAGCATTCCAGAATGCACACTATCCCAATAACCACTGATTCTGCCTCCTCATGGGATTGGCCTCTACAACACAACGATGGTGTTGTCAAAGTGACGAATACTTCTGAGAAATTCGAAGTTGGACTTGATGCTGGATTCTTCGGACCAAGCGATATTGATGTCAAAGTCAACGGATTAGAAATCATTATTCATTTGAGACATGATGTAAGTTTAGAAAATTCAAAAACATTTTGAATGTTTGAGGAACTTTCAGGACCGTCAAACCGAATACGGTATCGTTAATCGAGAGATTCATCGTACCTACAAACTCCCGGATGATGTTGATCCAGCCACAGTCAAATCTCATCTGAATTCATCTGGAGTTCTCACTATCACCGCCAAAAAACTCTAAGAAAATATGTTTGACATTCTATGAAATTTCAAGATGCAATAAATTCTGTTTGCCATATACGAATGTACAAAATAACTTTTGACATCTTCCACTTCTTACTTTGATGTTCTGAAAAATGAATTATTCGATGATAGTCTTTTTTGCGTTGTTCAATTTTTCAAAAAATAGGATTCATTAACCAAAAGGCTTTGAGATTCACAACTTTATGAAACTTCGAAAAAAGTACAATTCGATAAATGGCACAATTTGGGACGATTTCCACTTATTGGGCTGCTGCTTCCGCTGTCATTTTCGTTAAATTATCCGCATTTTTGTGGTTCTCTTCTGACGTCTTCTTTTCCTCTTCATGATAAGTTTTTGGTTCTTCTGGGAAGACTTGATCTGATTTCTCTTCTAATGTCATTCCTTCCAATTCCTCTTCGATAAGACCTTCAACATTGACAGTCTCTCTGAAAATGTAAACGAAAGGAATTCCATTTTCTTCTTTCAGGAAGACAGGTGTGTAGTTTTTTGCGTAAGCATGATGCATATATGTGGAAGATGGTCCTGAAACAATCAAATTGTTAAGATTCAGACGATAAAATCATACTTACCCATGAAGACTTTGATGCCTTTGGTTTCACGATTTGCTCTGAACCATGCTCTCAAATTGAAAATGTAATCAACCATATGAGTGAAATCTGCGTTATCCTTGCACATTTTCATCTCCACAAGCTCTCCCAACTTTTCTCCAAAATCAAAAATATCCTTCTCAACTCTCCACATGTCAAACTTCTGAAAAATGATTTTGAACAGGAGAATTTACAAAATTTGAGTACCGTAATTCCTGTAATAGAAGGGCTCCAACATTGTCAACTTTGAGCTCAATTATGTCGGCTCTTATAAGAGATATCAAAAATGTACCAACAGATAAAATGTTTATGATATTATGATAAACAATTTATTTGTTGACTACTTTTTCATAATTTGCGCAGAAAGAAAAGTTGGTCCAAAGTTGAAAGTTTGAAGGCCCTTCTATTACAGGTTTTACGGTATGTTTCTTTTAGAAACATATGACAATTTTTGATAAAAATTAAAAAATCACCTTCATTTTATACTTCCATATCACATCAATCACAGTTTTCGTTTCGTTCGATTCGGTCTCCACATTTATATAGTCGGCTCGAAATTTGAAAAACAGCTTTTCGACGAATTCAAATTTCCCATTTTCAGCTTCCATCAACACATCCCCTGTTAGATGATCCTTGAAAATTACCATTCTGGAAACATTGAACTTTAAAATATTTGAGAAGGTTTTACATTTAGAAAAAAATGGATAAAATACCGTAAAACTTGTAGTAGAAGGGAGCCATTACTTTAAATTTGAGCCTATTTATCTCGGTTCCTGTCACAGATATAAGAAAGCTGTCAACTGATAAATTGTTTATCATAATATCAAAAGTGTTTTTTCTGTAAACAGTATTTTAATAACTATCACGGTAATCGAGATAAATTAGCTCGAAGTCAAAAGTTAGGGGGACTCTATTACATGTTTTACAGTACTTCAACTTCAAGTTCTTGAAGTACTGTGAGTTTGGATTTCAAAGGCGGTTTTCCATAACAAAAGACCAGGGTCAAAATGAAAATTGAAACGACGTCTATTAAAAAATAGAATTGCGAAAAACGACATATACGATTGCCGTCTAAAGATTACAAGAGAATTCGAAAAGAGATGAAGGAAGTGGAAAGTGACGAGGAATCGTTAAAAGATCTTCTGAATGCACGTAAAACTTATTAGATTAGGGATAAATTTTGGGTTCTGAAGTTTTGGTTTTAGACTGAAATCTCAAAAAATGAAAAAGGACGCTCAAAATGAGTTTCAAACAATGCATAAAACTAAAATTTGAAAAAAAATTGTGATTCAGATTTTCTGGTGTTGCGCAGACTCGAATTATATTCTAAAAAATACAATGTTTAAAAATACAAAAGGTAAACTAAACTAGCAAAGAAACATTCTGCTTATTTTTGAATGTTGTCTGAACACGAAACATGATCTTGATTTAGATCTTGGCGCTTAAGTCTTGGATGGACTTTGGGCATGTACTCGATACGGTCAAAAGCATGATGATGCAAAATAAATAAAAGTGAATAAGATTCTTATGAGAAAAGAAAGTTAACTGAATCTCCTCCTACTGATCAGAAATAAATTTGAAAAACCACAAACTAATCAAATGAAATTTTTTCTCATTACCTAACTACAACCTTAAGTCCACCCCTCTTTTTTTTTTGATATCATGTCACTTCATTTCAGTGTCTCGTGGCCCTTAAGAGAGACACAAAAAGATAGAAAAACCGGTTCATAATTGTTTGATAAGTGATTTGTCGTTGAAATTCTGAAGGAAGATCGAACATCGAGACATGGTTCTTGAGCAGAGACATGCAGTTTTGAGTCAGATTACGTGAGAATTCCAAAGTTCTTTGGCGGAAGAAGATACAAAGACAACAAGATGGATAAAAGAGAATTTTACTGTACTAAAGGCGACAATGTAGGAATGATATTTTGATTTACCGGCGACAATAAGAGAAATTACAAAAAAAAGAGTAGTTATTTGACAAAGTACGAAATTGATAAAAATGGTTCCTGATCCGTTAGTAGTTAATCTTCATTCCCAATGATCTTCGAATGTATTTCATCTTATCTTCCGATCTCAAAATGTTGGAACAACCTGAAAAAATCAATCGTTTGACTTTGAGTATTTTGAGTTCACATACTGATAAATAGATCTGGTCGGTCGGGAATAAAAATCTGATGGAGACGCTGAAAAACTTCTTGCCATTCCATATTGGTTGCTTTGTATCCTTTGAGAGTGGCAACAAATTGTTTCTGATTGTCAAGCGACATCTGAAATGATTGATTTTTAAAAACAAAAAACTTTTATTGTTTTACTCCTTTCGTAAGTTCCGAAGTTGGAATGTTGAGAGCATTCTGGTATTTCTCCGGAAGGGTTTCGCGAGTCTGTAATTTCTCAAATCGGGATTATTTCTTCCCACATGTTCTTACCAAAAGAACCATCTTTCTCTTTTTCGGTGGTTCAGATCCGGAGACTACGTGTTGTCCAGATGAATTTCCTGGTGTTTCAGCCTTATACTTCCGCTTATTCAAATCAGAAGAACTTGATACATTTGTTTGGGAATCGTTTTCCTGCTCCCATTTCTTGACTTTCAACTCATCCTCATTCTGTGAATTTTCTGGTTTGAATATATTTTGAAGTTATATTTAGTCTCAAGAACTTTCTGGGTCTAAAAAAAAGGAAAAGTCAATGTCATATTATTATTTTCTGGCTATACATCAAAAGTTCCTTGATCTCAAGTCCCTAATTCTAACCGTGGGGAGACTGAAAACAGACGATGAAGAAGAATCGTATTTAATCGGACGTGGTTCAATCTTTTCTTTCTTCTCAATCTTCATATTCGCCGGGGAGAACATGTCTTCTAACGTAATATCCGTGATGTCATCTTTTGGATTCGAAGCGCTTTGAGATTTCACTTGTCTGAATGATTTGCAAGTCTTTGCTTGTTTCTTGATATATTCTGATTTCGAATTCTGAAACATTAAATTCGTAATTTTATAGAATATAAAAATTACCTCAATCAAGTGACCTCTTTCCTTGAAAAACCGGGCAGTTTTGAGAGCACAGTTATTAGAATCACAACGACTAATTGTGTTTCTTAACCACTTTGGAAACATTTCAGGTTTGGCAGATGCATATCGTGTATCGATCAACACAACTGTTCCAAAATCATTTTTGTGACGAAGAACACGACCAATCGCTTGATTGACTGCTCGGAAAGCTTCCATTTGATACCAATCACGAGACGATTGCGGTTCGTTTGTCTGAAAATTCAAATTTTCAGAGAAAAAGTTGAACACCCTCACCAAATCCTTTCTTCCCATTAAATCATCCAAATACATTTTCTTCAATACAACTCGCTCGTCATGAATCGGTGGATACGGGATCCCAACAATGATGACGGCTCTTGACTCTGCATCACAGAAATCGATTCCTTCTGAAACTTTTCCTCGACAAACTGCCAGTAAAGCTGCTCCGTGAGGTTCTGATACACCCTATAATCATAATAAGAAGAAGTTTTCGAAGCTTTCGAAAATCGAAAACCTGTGTATATCTCAATCGAACAGCAGCTAGTTGTTCTTTTGCTCTCGGTTCCACCGCAATTTTCTTGGTCTTCTCCATTTTTTCCCAAAAAGTTTCAGGCGAATCTGATGCTCCTCGTTTTGTTTTTTTCCACACCTCTACCAATTCGTCCATTTGTGAGTACGAGGAAAAGAAAACGAGAACTCCTTGTGGAGTCGTTTCCATGACACGAATCAGTGATTCGCCTACATCTGACACATATTCAATGTTCTTTCGATTCTGGAAAGAACCGACAAGTCCTCCATGTTTTCCACGAGTCACGATAGATGTCAAAACTGGAACTTGTTTCAAAGCATGCTCGTTTTCAAGAATAGCTCCGAAATTTCTGAAATATATATCTGAATACTGAAAAGTATACAAACCTACAGTCCCATGTTATAGGTGAATGCTTGGATGGGAGAGAGTGTTCCACTAGCAAGAAGTACATTTCGAACTCCTCGCATTTTCAACATTCGCATAGAAATTGATGCTTGAAAGCAGAAATATTTTATGACAAGTTTTCCACTATCTTTTCGGATGTACAGTTTGCAGTTACGAGCTACGGTTGCTGGATCCACGCGATCGGCAAGCTGTAAATGACTGACATTGAAACCTGAAAGTTCCCTAGTTCGCTGGCACCATGAAACTATTTTTATTAATGAAGACGATGATGTTTTCATTCTAACGAGGGAAGCTACAAAAAAGTCCTGATGTCGTCTATCAGAGATAACAAGAAACCGAAAAAACAAGGAGTACATGAGAGAACTAAGAAACTTCCAACATCAGATGCTCCAACTTTGCAGGCCAGATCACCAAAGTTTAAGGTATGCGCATACTCTGCTTCTGATAGACCTCCGTTTCAAGGTGAAACAGAAAATGAGCCGCGAGAAAATGCAGCAGAGCTCAGAGCAACGTTCCTTCAATGTGATAGATGCGAACGAGGAGGAAGATGTTAATAGAGTTTCCATGTATTCTCCTGATCCATCTCCAATCAACTCTCCCAACGTATCCAGCATTCCAACTACTCACTTTGTTCCAGTTACAGTCTTTTTAGAGCTTGAGAGTGTTAGCCAGGTATTCTACAGTATTCCATAAGCCATACTCTTTCTAAACTTCCAGTTTCTCATTGCTGTTACTATCAACAAAAATATGGTTATCACAGGTGTTAAACGAGAATTAATGGCATGTTTCATGCCTGGAGATCACGTCTCTGGTATCAATGAAATCTCAATTTGGAATCGAACTCAACTAGACAAGAATTGGGCAACTATCAGAAGCAAGACTCTCAAAAAGTAAAAATTTCTGTTCTCGTTATCCGTGTTTGGAACATTTCGTGCCTGAGCAAAAATCAACTCGAACGTCTTTCTCCTTCGCTAGATGACCGTCTTCATTACTTTTCTGTTCGAATTTATTGCAACAATAGAGCAGCGGGATTGTGTTTGAGATCAGAAAAGAAGAGATTATTGACAAATAATGTGAGTGATGGAGAGGAGGTGAACTCTTGAAAATTACTGTATTATCAGGTTCGAGCTAAAACTGCAATCAGTTTCGGCCTACTTGTTGGAGATCAACTGTTAGGAATCAATGATGAGTTGTTGGTTGGAAACCGAACAAAGGACTTGTACACACAGGCCAAAACCCTAATGCGTAAAGCTAGAAAACTCGAATTCATCGAGTAAGAACATAGTATTTTGCCGCGATGTCTCAAGCTATAGTTTTTAGAATGATAGCATGCCGTCCAATATTAGTCCGTAGCTCTCCAGCTCCAAGTGTCGATGGAGAACTGGCAATGAAAGCTGCTGCGAAAACAGTAACATCCACTAACCCAGAAGCTAAGCAAGAGAAAAAAGGTTACAGTATTATCTCTTCAAATTCTAAAACTTCTTTACAGTCCTCGAAAACTTATCATCACTTCCCTTGGAAGCCGATGCTTTAGAAATTTCACTTCGCGAACTCACTTTGCTTCAACAGTGGATCAAAACCGATTCTCCATTGGTACGACAAAGAAAGCTAAATCAGTCTATAAATTAGTTTTCAGCCAACTTGTGAAAAAGGTAATTCCCTACTCCGCAACGTGCAGTATCCAGGAGATCAAACATCATGTACAAATGAGAGATCAGAATATTCTGGAAGATTCAGTAGTACTACTCCCGATACACCAAGAAAGCGAGGAATTCTGTTTAGAAAACGGAATCAAAAAACTATTAGTATTACGGTAGAGAAATGTAAGATTGCCTAGTACTATCATTGATTTTCAGGAGCAACCGGAAACGTCCAAAGTGACATCTGATATTTCAGAAGAAACAGAATTGAATAAATGTGATCCACGCTCCGGAATAGTTTCCTACATCAAGAATGTTTTCAACAGTTAATTTTACTCTCTATTTAAAAATTCTAATAAAAATAAATGATCACCTTGATGTGTTCGTCTCCAACTGCTGCTGCTACTTCTTGTGCATGGGTGGAATATATTGACAGTAGAAAATCAGCTACACTCTCCATTCCGTCTCCTTTTTCTGTCAACGAAACTTCTTCGTTTTTAGACAACAGATATGAGATGGCATCTCGAAGAACATCCACAAAACGTTCAACAGAATTCCCATCGCATCCAGAATTCGCTAAAGTCTCAAGAAGAATTGCTCCATCGGAAGCTTTGCCATCCAGAGGTGGAACTGACTTAAATAGGGAAAACTATTTATATAAATCTAGTTGACAACTCACTTTCAATTGATCTGACTCAAATAGTTTGTCAAAGTTCTCTTCAAGTGTGAACACTTTCTCTAAAAGAGCCATCAAATCTTCTGTTCTCAGATTTTCAATCAACTTCTTGGTAAGATCAATTTTCTGAGTTCCGAAAGCCTCCGTTTCGTTATCAGCTTCCTCACGAGCATTTTCCTCTTCTTCAACTAACAACGCGAGCACTTTTTTGAGTTCTTCAATACAAAGGGCAATGCTAGTTGAAGAAAGTTCTGCAGATGCATTGGATTCACAAATCGATTCCAAATTATGGGCCTCATCAAAAATCACGATCGAATTTTTCAAGTCAAGTTTGTATCGTCTCCTCATTTTTGGGTCGATGATATAGTTATAAGGTAGAAGAATGAGTTCAGCTGTTTCTGAACGTTGTCGAGACATGAAGTATGGACAGATGCTGAAAAAGGGAAGCTCAATTGTATTCAAATTTAATCCAAGCTTACGAATTCTGAGTTCCTATTTTCACAAAATCTTCAATATCCATAGCTTCTCCCTTTTCCAAAATCTCGTTAGCCTTATCAGTGGTTAGTGCTGAAATAGGGGATTATCTTTCACCAAAACTATTGGTAGAATACCGTCGAATTTGTTATAGTAATGACATGATCGTTTTGAAACCAATCCACGACATACATGTGCTTGACGATTCGATTCTTTGATTTTCTTCACTTTCTGATTGATGCAGAAATGCTCTCGTGATCCCAGAATAGTCGTTTTCACCCTATGAATGAAAATCTGATAGTAAACTGAAATTGTATTAACCCAACACACCATTTATACTCGGTTCTATTTAATTCATGAACCACTTGCTCCAATTGTGAATGAGTCCTGGATGCGTAAAAGATTGTGGGGATGAAGGAATTCTTGAGCTTGTCCTCCGTTTTTTCTGCACCTCCGGCTCCGGATGACTGCCACGTAGCAAAGTCCATCGGTTTAGATTCTTTCAGTTTTTGAACCCAAGCCAATGTTGAACAGAGAAGAGAAAGTGTCTTTCCGGTTCCCGTTGGACTTTCGAGTGCTGCATCCAACTTCTGAATTTTTTTTCGCTTTGTATGAATCATTTCGCAACGACCAACCATATCCAGCACATCAATTACATTTTTCATAAAAATCCGTTGACATTCATATGGTTCGAATGGGAACTTAATCGATGTTTTAGAATTGATCCATACTTCTGTTGAAGATGAAGGATTGGAAACCATTTCTGTATTTTGAAAATTGAATGGCACAAAATCATCATTTCAACAAAAAATAGTTGGATTTACAACCAGAAAGTGTAGACCATTCAGTATGAGGTTATAGTTAGGCATAATAGGAAATTTTAAAATCAACAAATTATTTATAGGCAACAATGGCAAGATTTCTAGAAGAAATAGTAGGTTCGAAAAGAGGAACACATTTGGCATGAATTCCGTTTTCCTGCAAAAAGGCAATTCGATCATCCAAAATAGCCGATTCAATGGCGGGTGCAAACATCAGACGTAATACATCATATGAATCAAACTTTGAGCATTTGAAGGATGATACATAGGCTGATAGCTCAGATTTAGGAATGACCTGGAAACATAAATCAGTTCCTTTGGCTTTTTTTACAACAAAAATTACCTCCAGAACATCATTTAATAAATGGGATCCACGATTGGCCATGGCTTTTCGAATGTATTCGTCGAATGTTGTCTCGTTTTCAACGCATTTCACCTGATACCAAATTTCGGTCATTACAGTTCTTATCTTTGTTTTTGTTTACCGAACACATCCCAATGTTTCTATCTTCTGGCGAATCGGATATTTCCCAAATCCATTTTTCAAGTCGGGCCCGAGCATAACGAGAAATATCGGTGTTTTCACAGAATCTCTTATCCATGTTCTCGTTATTATGGCATGCAGCCTCTCGACTGGAGTAGCTCAATTCATAACCTTCCCACTTCTGACTCAATGGAAAAACTGTAGACTTCGATTTCGTGGACGCCTATAATAATTGAAAAACTTACTTTAACTTAAAAAGATCAAACCTCTTGTATATCGCCTGGTTTACAAAAGTTGAAGCATTGAAACTCTTTATGGTAGCAGCATCCAAGTAATACAAGAAATCTTGCTTTCTGACTGTCCAGAAACACTTTCAGAACTGTCGAGGAGAAATCACCACAACAATGCAGGCCAACTAGAATTGCCGAGTTCGATGTAAAATCATCAACTTTCAGAGCCATTTCTTCTGTGACAAAGTCTGTGTAACGAATCGGACGTTCATGAAAGCTCAGGGCAGTTTGGGAAACAGCGGAGGCTTTTGCAAGTTTCTCGTCGAGATCATTGGCTGATATTGTAAACTATAAAGAGCATGATATATAACCGATTGAACTCATTATACTCTACTTGATGATTTCCTTCAACAGCCATCACAGCTAACTTGTTATGGATCGAAACCATTCGCGATAGATGCCCCACACCAGCTCCAATATCAATTAGACTGTCAACGATGCCTGAAAAAAGCGAAGAACGATTTTAAAAACTTATGAAACCAACCGTTTGCAAATAACTGCACTTGAGAAATCAGCTCAATGATTCGATCAATTTCATGCTGTTTTTTCGCTTTTATTTTTTTCCGGAGCAATCTGGTGGACGAGGTGATGACTGGGAAATTTGCCTTAACGATTTCTTTTGATGAAAAACAGATATTTTGATAAATTTCTGAACCTGCAGGCTAGTCGGACAGATTGCATCCGTCCACGTCTCCCACAACTGTAATGGGTCCCGTACGCACTTCCTCGTGTATTCAAAGCGTCGCAATTGTGTTCTGAGATCTAACAATGATTCTGGAATTTTCTCGGAATCCACACCTCTCAAATTTACAAAAGCAATCAAGTTTTGAACCTGAAGAGACCATAAAATTAAAGAAAATTGAGCATGGGATACCGGCTGTTCTTCTAAAAATTTTTGCCATTCCAGCACAACATTATCCCAGCTTCGTCTAGCATGAAATTCTACACTTTTACTATCCAATATATTTTTGTACTTGGTTACCAGCTGGCAGAATTCCGCTACGTTCATCTTGAATTCTTTAAGTGTTTGGGATCACATTCTGCAGAAGATACAAAGAAGACAATAATTTATGTTTCTGTTTCAAGCGATGTGTTGGGGATATATATATAATTCATTGAATAACAGAGAATGGATTTAACACGGAGATTAGCACTTCTCCTCGAGGATTGCCTCCTTGACCAGCATGAGGGTTGGAACTTCAGTTCCGTCGACATCTCTGTACTCGATGATGGCAACTTGTCCGTTCTCAGCTCCTTCGGCGGCTCTCTCTCCAATGAAGAAAGCAAGATTCTTGAAGCGGTCCTTGGCAAGAAGACTGACAACCCAAGCTTGGATCTTCTTCTTGAAAGCATCAACGTCAGCCTTATCACGGTTGTTCTTCTCCATGTGGTCGATGATGTTCTTCATGAACTTCTTGATGTAGGCCTTGAACATAGAGGCATCCTCATAGCAGTTCATCTCGACGAGCTTGTGATTGAGGACGATATCGATTCCGCGCTCAACATGCTCATCGGATCCCTCATCTTCAGCTCCCTCTTCAGCAGATGGGTTGGATCCGGCCAAGATGATGTCTCCCTCCTTGCGGACAACGTGTCTTCCCTTGAACTCGTAGATAAGGTCATCGACCAACTTCATTGGGAATGAGTCAGAAGAGAGCTCGTCGTCTGAAATTTAGGACATTCATTCACCTTAGGAATATAGCATCAAGCCGTTTGCCATTCGAAAGGTATGTTGTTGTTCAATTCGAGTCCATTTTATCTACCGCACATAACTCGCCAACCTACCACCCATGGATAAAACTGCCAGACACAATCCTACTCGCCGACAAAACGTCATTAAGCAGAGTTATGAACAGCCAGTCGGATCCGCAGTTAGGCTAGCTTAAGGAGAGCGGAACCTTCGCAGCTAAACTCCAAAAACCATAAACAGAACTCACCGGTGAAAATATCCTTGTAGATGAGCATTTTTGAAAGGATGGGGCCAGTAACTGCAAAATAAGTTGAGAACAGCATTCGGAATCACAGGGAAAATATAACATTGCGATAATACGCCGACAGATTAATACTGGTAAAGGATATTGGAATAACATTTTATTAACAACAAATTCAGAACAACTTGAGGACTTAGTCGAAAAGACCGAATCCCATATCGTCGTCGGACTCCTCCTTCGGCTCTTCCTTCTTGGCGGCTGGGGCGGCAGCCGCTGGGGCAGCGGCGGCGGCTGGAGCAGCAGCAGCAAACTTGCTTGGGTCGGCGATGTAGGCCTTGATGGTCTCGGCCTCCTTGAAGGAAACATCGGTGACAGCGGCAATTCCCAACATGTTCTGGAGTCCAGTTGCCAAAGAGTGAGCAACCGAAGCAAGAGTTGGGTATTTGATGGCCAAAGAAACGGAAGCAACGTTGCGAACTCCAGAAAGGAAACGCTTGCGGAGCTCCTCGGTGGTCATGTCCAAAACTTCTGGAGAGTAGAGGGTTCCATCATCGTAGACTTGACGAACAACCAATCCGTACGAGAATGGAGTAACTCCCAACATGTTGAGGAGAGCAGATTCGGAAGCTCCGACCTTGTCTCCTTCCTTGATGAGATGAACCTATAAACAAGTAATTGAATAAACCGATTCAAACTTCTCTAATTACCTCGTTCAAGATTTCGATGGTTCCTCTGGCGATCTTGGTTGGGATTTGAAGAGCTTGGAAGAAAGAAGTCTTTTCTGGTCCCATTCCGGTGTTTTGTGGTGGGAGTTTGACGTCGCATGGGGCGATGGCACCGGCCTTGGCTGGAGCTCCCTTACGGTTTTCCAAAAGCTTGGAACGGATCTCTCCAAGATCTTCCTTGGTGAAGACGAATCCGACGTTTTCGACGATGTGTGGCAACAACTTCTCAAGAGATGGATTCTTTCCGAGATGTCCACGGAGAGCCTTACGGATCATGGTGTTCTTTCCCATGAGGATCTCAGCATGTCCTGAAAAATTCGAACGCTATTTTTTCTAGAATCGTGTCATACCTCTCATGGCTTGACGAATCTCTTGCATTTGCTTGGATCCGACATTGTCAACGCCGACGAGAAGGCATTTTGGGTATTCCTCGAACAACTCGATAAGCTTCACGAAGTAGTTAGCCTTCCAAGTAGATCTGTCTTCCCTAACCATCTTGGTGAATTAAGGATCGCGTGCGATTACGTTTTAAAGACTGAAATGAAGACAGTAATTTATAAAATTTTTGATTCATGAAAAATTAGTCGAGATAGATAATGATCCAGCAACAAGAATGGTAAGAAAGGATATTCTGATCATAAACGATGAAACCAAAAGAATCAAACTTTCGGAAATGTTTCGTTTTGGTATATACGGAAAAATAAAAACATCTCAATTTCAGCACCTCCGAGAAAATCCCGTACATTCTAAAAAACCGCGCAGAAAACAGCTGAAACGGTAGAAACGGCGAAAAGAGGAACAAATTTTTAGGAACAGTGGTATTTTTCTCTCAGCAGCGGCAAAATAAGTTTCGTGTCGAGACCCGCAGACTGCTTTACTACATGCGCCTTCAAAAAGAGCGCCGTAAAACGACACATGGAAAAGGGAATTTCATAGGAGATTGAAAAAAAACGGAGAATGCAAACAGAAAGGAGAATGTGAATGTAATTTTAAAACCTCTACATTAAATATGCACTTATTGTCGGTTGTTCGTGCTCAAAAAAATTGTTAGCTGTTCATAGTCCGTATAAGATTGCTGCTGCATGCTGGAGGCTAAAAACTACTAAGAACTCATTTCAGAAAACATTCAAGCAAAAAAATTTCACCATGTGAAGCCTTTAGAAGGAAGTCGATACTGATATAAAAGTTAAACCTACGAATTCAATTAACTCATCTGAGAAATTTTTTTATCAGTTTATTTCTTTCTGCTGCATATTTCATTTATTTTTCAATATTTTCTAGTTTTGACCGAAATAAAGGATGACAATAATTTATTGGTAAACTGATCATCGAGGATTAAATGTGTTTACACAGCGCATAACGGGAGAAAAAAGAACGGGACACAAACAAATTAAAGAGGAATTGGAGCTAAAGAGAAGAGATGACTTGATCGAGTTCCTCGTTGGAAACTCTTGTGAAGTCGCCAATCGGACGTCCATTGCCATCGACAGTTGGTTTGATGACAACGACTTCGACGTTAGCGGAGTTCAATTTCTCCTCCATCACTTGCTTCAAAATTGCTAGTGCCATTTTGAGACCTTCTTTGATAGTCAGAGCCTGTAAAAATTCTTCATATTCTCATTCTACAGGAAGATGTTTGGTTTTGAACATTGATACTTTTCGACATGAATCGATAGAAAAACCTTATTTATCGTCAAAAATCTTCATTATAAATTTAGAAGAAGAGAACTTACGTCGTGGTACTGTTCTTTGAGATTCTGCTCGGCTCCATCGCTAGCGGCACCAATCGACTTAGCCTTGCAGTCAATGAATGTTCCCGATGGGTCGAGATGGAACAGTTTAGCACCTTCCTGATCGACTCCAGCGAAAAGCATAGCGACTCCGAATGGGCGAGACATAGACGCCTTCACGTCATCATCTCCAAACTGAAGAGCAAGATTGGCTACGGATTGAGTCACATCTTCCACTCGGATTTTTCTGTTGTAGGTGAACCAGAAATTCTGAGCTTCGATTTGGGCTCTCTCCACAAGTGTTCGCGAATCGGCAATCAATCCAGCGAATGTCACACTAAGAATAAAAATATACATTAAATGAACTGCTGTTGGTCGCGATTTATCATGATAACTGGACAACACATGAGCGACTGCTAAGACTTACCGATGTGTTGGTCGACTTTGCTGATTTTCTCGATAGCATCATTCACCATCAATTTCGACGTCGATCTTTTTTCTGCTGCCAGCAAGACTCCTTCGCTAGTCTTGATTCCGATGCTCGTAGATCCCAATTTCACGGCCTCGATGGCGTATTCAACTTGGAAGAGACGTCCTTCCGGAGAGAATGTGTTGACTCCACGATCATACTCGCTGCGGGTCAAGAACATGACGAACTATAAAATAACACTATTGGACTTAATTTCTGTGTTATTAACATTTGTTTTGTTTAGTAGAACAATTTCGGAAAAACAAAGAAACAGCAAAAACCAGAAACTGCTAAATTTCAATGATTCAAATGGAGAAGAAGAAAACGAAATGCTGACAATTCGCGGCGCGCACTCTGCCATGTCTGCGTCTCTCGTCACTTTGGCGGGAGGCAAAATATTCAAAAAAAAGTGGCACCTTTGCTGATTGTTGTGTGGTCACACACAAAGTTTCCATTTTTAACCTGCGCGCTTAACGCGCATATTATTGTTTCTCCTCGAACTTATTTGGGCAGTTTTTGCGTGGTTCTTCTAAACATATATTATTTTTAGAATTCGTATATGACGGTTTCGGACAAGAGTTCACTGAAGATCTTGAAGCTTCATGCACATGTGCTGCTCGTGAAGTACTAATCAACTTAATGTAAGTTGTATTCAAATACGAACGTAATAATCGTAATAATCGTAGTGATCGAATTCGCAAAGAACTGAAGAAACTGAATTACGATTCTACCACTATTCTCCACCAGCTGAACTATGTAATTGCACAGGAAGCAGATGACATTGACAGGTGATCCTTAATATGTTTTCATTATTAATTTTCGTTCAGATCTCTTCTCGATTCAACCGGACCACCAATTCAACGTCTTCTCTGCCTTTCTTAAATACATTTCGAAAGCTTTTTCTCTTTCTTTTCCTTGTAAAACGGTTACCATAACCGTTTAGTTCATTAGCTTGTTCTTGTTTCGTTTTGTTATAATAAATAACTTCGTTGTCGTCAAATGCAGTAACAGAAAAAAAAACAAAAAAAAGTACAGAAAAGGGAGCTTTCTAAACACGGATCCGCAACGGATACATCAACTTTTCTTGACTATCCGTTACGGATTCGCGTACGGTCCGTATGCGGTTCCTATTTCATCCGCGCGGGAATGGCGGAGAATCCGTAACGGATTGTTCGCGAATCACCTGTGTAGATCAAAAATTAATTTGCAGTTCGGAATTGTTCTGTGGGAGAGCGTGCATATATATATATATATCTGTTTCTACAGTATCCGTTTTCGCTCCGCCCCCTCGTAAATCGACACGAGCGCCGTCTCCGAGATTTTCAGGTGTCACTTTTTTTAATCCGACAATAGAGAAGGGGAGCAGCAGCAGCAAACTTGCTTGGGTCGGCGATGTAGGCCTTGATGGTCTCGGCCTCCTTGAAGGAAACATCGGCGACAGCGGCAATTCCCAACATGTTCTGGAGTCCAGTTGCCAAAGAGTGAGCAACCGAAGCAAGAGTTGGGTATTTGATGGCCAAAGAAACGGAAGCAACGTTGCGAACTCCAGAAAGGAAACGCTTGCGGAGCTCCTCGGTGGTCATGTCCAAAACTTCTGGAGAGTAGAGGGTTCCATCATCGTAGACTTGACGAACAACCAATCCGGACGAGAATGGAGTAACTCCCAACATGTTGAGGAGAGCAGATTCGGAAG